GTGTTTAACAACATGTATATTTGAACTGAAGGAATACTGCCGACTAAACGTATTTAGTCATTTCATTAACTTCTTATCTCAGTGTAGGATAAGTGGCCGATCAAATTTCGAGAAGAAAAAATTAATTTTCGAGAAGGGATTCTCAATCTTTAGACCAATAACGTATTTCTAATTATAGAAAAAAAAATCTCTTAGAAAAAAAGGAAGAAAAACTCGATTAACAACGGGATACATTCGCAGAGTTTGTTAAGTTGTTAGTTATTCTAGACGCTGTCCTGTATAATTTCGGTAACAATAAACGAAGAGACTTTTATAGACAGAGAGATGGACATTATCGTTATGTCATCGATGAACTCTTTTTCGAGGAGCAACCGGCCCGACTGAAAGAAGTGGTCGATCATAAAACATATCAAAACTATGAAAACGAGACAAGATGGCGGTGAACACGGTGGTAACCATTGCTCGCCTTTTACGAGCACTTTATGGATGCTTTAATGACTGCGGTATTACGTGGCATACACGCGAACGTATGCAGAGTGCATAAAGTTGTTTCGCGCAAGCAGATAGATTGGAAGAATTTCAAACCAGAATGTCAGAATTCTCGTTACATTTACATAGAATTACTGACGGAATAAAGATTTTTTTAAATTCGTTTCGACTTGATTAAGAAAAAGTACGTAGAAAATGAAATATTATTACAATCATTCGCTGTACGAATTGTAAGAATAAATCCGTGACAATGCGTTGGGACCATTTCTGGAATATTAGGTGAAATCTCTCGAATTCAATCATAGGAAACAATTAAGCCGTAGGAAAGACGATGACTACGCGGAATAGCCGTCGTCGGATACGCGTATTATACAAATGATGATCATCGTCTCATCAATATCCCATTCAGAGAAAGAGGCGAGTTCATCGGCGATGCAACGGCGGGCTGAGTGACAGGGCGGCTTTTTCGACGATTTATCGATTAGCAGTGACGGCCGTTTTACCACTAATTAATAATCGTCGCGGGATTTAAAGGCCAGCTATATAGTTTCCACATCGCGAAAACCTTCCCGATCGCGAGTACGCTAACAATTTGCGATTTGTAAAGGAATTTTGTCGCCGATTCATGTTTTTTTCGTTAGTTAATCTGCGTGAATCAGGAAAAAGATTGGAAAAGAAACCTAGAAAATTTCTCATTTTAATGATAAAATAGCGACTCGGTACGATTCCTTCAACTCGAACAATTTGCATTTAAGTTAGATGCGTGCGTGAGATACGACGCGACGTATTAAGAACAGATGTGTTATATATTTTCAATTTTACGTGTTCTTGTTTATGAATAACTACAGAATTAAGATTAATTGCATTCAAAAGATATTCACACCGCAATCTTGGAGCTCCATTAGTTAGTGTAAAAGATTTCCTGACAAGCCATTCGGGGTAATATGAAGTTCAATCTGAATTTCATGCATATATGTTTCTCTGAATCCCTTGAAAATAACGATAATCGTTACTTTTACGGCCCTTAGGTCGCGGCGGTGACGACTCTGACACGGAAAGCGAGCCGGGTATTCAACTGAAGCGAAAGCAACGCAGAAGCAGAACGACGTTCACCGGCGAACAACTCGAACAGCTGGAAACTGCGTTCCACCGAGCTCAGTACCCAGACGTTTACGCCAGAGAGGAATTAGCCCAGAGAACTGGACTGACGGAGGCGAGGATTCAGGTGAGTATCGTATAACATTAGCAGCCAACGTTAACGTAAAGTACCTCACATCGATTATGACAATTCGAGCAGAGTTTCTGACACTCTTTGCATCGATCTTCGTTTTTTCAAGAGCAATTTAAAAAGATATATCTTGTACATAAGATATTTGTACTAATCAAAATTTGATGAGTTACCTAAGCAACGTTGATTATATAATTCAAATGTAAACTGAAGAAAGCAAAAAATGAACATAGTTCGAGGAAGCAACAAAAGCCAAGGATGTTGCTTGCGCTGTACTACGTTCCGTGCACAGCGCGAATATCAAGATGAAAAGCCCAATACACCCATCAAATCGATCCCGTCGCGTGGGTGCAACCACCAAGTGTCATGCGCACCGTTTCAGGTGTGGTTCAGCAATCGCAGGGCGCGACTCCGCAAGCACACTGGTAGCATAGGGCACTCGGTGGCGAACCTGCCGCTGACACCCTGCCAATACGCTGCGAGCCACGAGCTCGTTCAGTTACCGCAGGTGCCGCAGATGCCGGGCGGGATACCGCAGGTACCCACGACGTTGCATCACAGCCCGACGACGCTGCACCAGGCGCCTAGCAGCGTTCATCAAATCCCCGGCAGCACCTCCGTCGCCCAAATGGCGAGCACGATGGCCCAAGTGCCCACTACGATGAGTGGCGCCCTTCAAGGGCACACGGTCGCCATTTCCGGTCACATTGGGTCGCTTCCGGCGCACGCGGCGTCCATGCAACTCGCACAGGTATCGACGATGCAGCCACCCGTCGCGCACGGTGCGCCGACGTCGCTTTCGCACAATGCCGGTGAGCATTTTCGTAAAATCTACGAGAAGTCCCCGGGTTCTCGAAGGAAATCGGAAAGCTATACAATATACTGAAGATGCCTTCGCGTTTGAAATATTTTTCGAAATCCACTTATTACCATATGTCTGCACCGTACAAATAAAAATAGAGTTGCGAAACAATTTTTAATTCGTGAATTATACTAAGATGGCGAAATAAAATTAAAATATAAGGAATGCGTACCTCCAAATCTTACGCGTCCGCGATTCCATCGAGGACATGTTAGAATTTATATTTCATTGTCGATCCCTTCAGGTAACGCCGATTGGTCCAGAGCGCAGCTCGGCTGGGGACAGTTCAATCATTTTCAGAGCGGCGAGTATGGCTCGGGCCACACCGGCAGTCATCAGCACGCGAGTCCTCAGAGTACCCAGTCCACGAGCGCCCCAAATACGGGAGCAACGCCGGACTGGTACGACCAAGGTTACGATTACGCTCAGCACGCTCAGCTTAATTATCACCGTAGTGTGGGTGGGATATTCTAGCCGATCAGCTGTTGTACAGAGACTAGATAATGCGTCAAAAGACGTGCATATTTATATTGTATATATGTATTACGTAATTCGATATATTTATATTCTGTATATATTTATATTCTGTATATATATAAATTCTCTATTAATCTATAACTTTATGGTATTTTTCAATCCCTTCTCTGAAATGTTAAGATAATACAAGAATTAAGTTCGAATTTCGAGGTGATCTATGCATTGTAACAATAATTAATGGTAGAACAATAACATAATCAATGATTGCCTATATAAAACTATGATGAATACCAAGTAAATTATCGCGGAAGTATTCGGGAATTGAATGACACTTTCATTATGCCAATACTTGAAAGAAGTCAATTTACCTAAAAACAGTCGTTAACTAGTTGCCGACATGACCGCTATCGGGAGCAGTCCGGAAGATCCAGGGATTCGTTTCCACCTGCAGCGGAGTTCTGGATTATTTAATTTTTCTCCGCCGATTGATCCAGTGGAAAGCAACAGAAACAGCTCGCTCTCCGCCATAGACATAGCAAATATATAGACCGAGCGTCCCATTGAATAAGCTCGAGGCTATGATAGTTTTTAAATAATTAGCGATTATATTTCACAAATGACAGGTCTGAGATTTCGCGCGCTCAGGCACGGCGACATGACGAGTGATAAAAGTGTTGCTATGTGTTTCGCGAGCGAGCGAGAACCAAAGTTACCGTTTAACGGGACAGAAAATATTTGGGAAGACGGTTATTTTGAAAACTTGAGGATAAAAAGAGGCAGGAGACTAGATTGAATCTAACTGAAAATTCCAAGTTCACTCAGAATATCGGAGATCGACTAAATCGAAGGATATCAAGTCTGATCAAGATGCTCATCATAGTGAACCCCTCCCTTTTATTAATAAGACGTTACACAAAGTTAACAAAAGAAACGGTTAAAGATAACAAGAGGAACAATTAATTCGAGAATGAATCGTTAAGTCTGTTGTGAAAGTTGTCACTATGCTAAAAAGAGCGATATTCGTAGGAACACCTTTATCACTTGTCGTGTCGCCGTACCTGAGCGCGCGAAATCTCAGGCCTGTCATTTGTGAAATGTGTGTAATCGCTTATTATTTAAAAACTATTATTTAAAAACTATAGCCTCGACGTTTTTGTATTAGAATTTTTGTCTTGAAAGTTTCTAAAGAATTTATGATTAAAAGAGGATATCCGGTGGTTTTAGTACACCCTGTATACTTAAAATCGTAGACGTGACAATGCAAAACATTTAATGTTTGTCGAGTGACTATCGCGTATAGTCATTGGACTCGGCGGGGTGAAAGGCCTCCACACCAGGTTGGTATGTTTTACATGTTTAATTCAAAACTAAAAGAGAAGCGTTTATAATTAGAAAAATACAAAGTTTGATTTGACCAGAGTGCAATCGTAATGATTTTTATCCCATGTAAACGAAGCAATCTTGTATCGGCAGAGAGAAACCTGAGAGCGGCCAATATATGACCATATATGAGCATATACACGTATAAACAGGATAGGTGGGCATATATGATATCATACATGATGAAATATGACGAAGAATTCGTCACACATGATCATACATCGTCATACATGAATTTCTTTCCCCGGAATTAGAATATAATTGTACAAATACTACCATTTGCAATTCTTTATTTTATTATAAAGACTTGACGTATAATATTAAAGTAAAGTAGAATGCTTATAATTTATCAAATCATGAAAATGCACAATAAGATACGTTTGTTACCTGTTATATCTGTACTGATATTTCCTCCTTAGCAACGTTACAAATTACATTTTGTTAATTTTTTTAAGTATAATAATCACACTTAATAACCCAGGTGGCATTCAACGGTGCAGCTTAACAAAGACTGACAATGAGAGCGGGACAAGAGTATTCACCTGCGGAATGAAATTCAAGTTAATTACTTCAATATTATTATCGTTTTATTGTCACTTCGGTTATCCATTATTGTCTAGACAAACACATAGTACTTTAAGTCGTAAAGTTAAAGAGAGGTCGACAGAGACTTATATGTCATCCACAGCAATGATAGACCGATGATGCCGCGACATCGAGCGTATTTCGATTGTATACGTGCAATACCACATATATATTACACAACGACGTTTCTAACAATATTTAAATGAGATACAATGGAGACTAGGATGAAACCGAATTCGCATTATCGCCACCGAACTCGCAAGCTCTGAGCATATAATCCTGGCATTTACACCGTACATGTTACTACCCTCATGGAGATTACTTCCTGGCTTCGTCGACTTTGCATGTGTGCGAACGATTCTGAAATCATAGGATTCTGAAAAGAAGAACAACGAAAACGACGAAAACGGGACAACATTCGTAGACGTGGGACAAGGGTGGCACCGCCTAATGGTGCTCTACGTTTCAGTTCGTTACATGAAAAGTGCCTGCCACCTTCCTCGCTTCCTGTTTTCGAAAGCTTCCGCGAAAGCTCGATATCATCATAAAAAGGGCCATCCATGTAGTAATGCGCCATTTGTAAAAATGGAAATTGTTGAGTCAAATATATATCGTAAGTTTTACGAACTGGTTCTATACAAGAGAGCTAAAGACAAAAGGGAAGCATGCAATTAATACTTTTCGCAAGTCCCTGATCATCATTTTCCAAGTAAACCCCGAAATTGTAAAAGAATTGAGAGTCGCTTCATTCTGACGCTGAAGTAATAGCCAATATGTTAGGCGAATATGTGTTTCAAGCAAATAACAAATGTAATGAATATATATTCGTTGCATACGGCTCTTAACACGACAAGTACCTAAAATCACACGACGGGGTAAGCATCGTAGCATGGTGAGAAATATCTGTGGAATAACGACAAGCTTTTCCCTCGATTATCTAATGCGATCGTCGTATCGAGTCGCGCAATTGCGAGCTACTCTATTTGCGAGTAGCATTTCTTTTAACACTTCGTACGACGTGCGATTTACGCTCTCGCTAAGTAACAGTTGGCCGAATTGACGCACGTGAATTTTTTATCCCCTTTTTCCTACGATCTTACGGTTCGCCACGGCCGCCGAGAGCGTCGAATAAAATATTTCGATCTCGCGATGATTTATCGGTGAAGCCCGAGCTAAATAGCGATCATCAAAGCGACGTACAGCCTCTCTCGCGATTGCGCTCGTTTAAACGGGCAGCGTCGACGGAATAAAATATTTCGATCTCGCCATGATTTATCGTTAAATTAGCAGCCGAGCTGGCCTCTCGTCCCACCGCGTCGTTTGTTCATATCGTCGCGAACGTCGAGAAACGAAAGAATCGCGAGGTATTGCTCGATGTGCGTATCGCCCGATTTATCAGTCGAATATTAAGTGGCGCTAATGATCGGAGACCAATGCCAAATCGCAAACCGAGAGCCGACCGGGTCGTTGTTATACATGTATTGTTATTTCGTCGTTCGAGGATATTTCTCGCCTTGCTTCGGAAGATGCGAATTACAAAAGTCACAGCAGATACGTTCGCTATACATCGTATCGAAGAGAATGTCGGGGTACAAATATCAAGAGAAACTTTGCGTGTTTACAGAAATGCGTGAATTCAGAGGCTATCGTTGACTAAGTCCTCCTACATCCAGAAACTTGTAACTGCGGAGGAAACGAATTTTGTCTCTTATTGTTGAGCGAGAGAGAAATCTGTCCGCGAATCGAAATCTCCTCTTCAGACGTACGCTTTCCACGTATAACGGTTTAAAATCTGTTCGATATAGACGGCACATTTAAGGCGTCACATTTTAGGATTACGTGAAACTGTATTGTCGGCGAGCAGTAAGCTTATTGTCCATCGACGGACCTTGCGAACCAAGATCAATTCCTCTCAATGAGTCTGTGGACTAGTCGCTGATTAAATTACGCGCGACGGACTTCCTCACTTCCGTTCCATCGTTTCCTGATTTCGATCGGTCAATTTCTTCTCCTTCGGCAATTTTTCAAAATACTTAAATTTGCATTTAATAGTCATTGTTCGCTGACAGATCATCGCTTGAAAGATCGTTATTTCATCTTTAACGATCGAGATTCTTTACTCGTAGATGTGTCCGTGGGCTAGTCGCTGATTGAACTGCGCAACGGACTTCCTCACCTCATCGTTTCCTGATTTCGATCGATCGACCGGTCAATTCTTTTTTTCAATTTTTAAAATATTGTTACTATTATTATTATGCGCTGATAGATCATCATTTGAGAGATCGTTATTTAACCATTGATGATCGAGATTTATTTATACTCGCAGATACCCTTATAGAAGTGTAAGCAAAATAATTACGAGAAAATGACTGTACATCAGTAATTTCTAATAATTCAATTACCGAACTCTAGTAATTGTACAGTGCTCTTTTTCGTTCCCAGTTGTTACATTTCTGTAAGGGTATCTACCGTTGACAAGGGATGATCAGTGGCCAGTAAGGAAGAACGTCAGACTCAAGATCCGAGTATTTACATCCCCGTTTCCCCTCACTCCCCTTTACTAGGTTTCGCTGAGTAAAACGCGTGAGTCTGATGCGAATGGAATTTGTACGGCGCGTATCGGCCGCTCTGGAACGAGCGGCGAAGCGGTGGGCTTTTACATGGAATGGGACGCGACGCGGGAGTTGGATATCCGCAGAAAGTTATCGATGTCCGGTAACAAGAACCTCTGGAAGCCATGTCGACAATCTCCGTGCAGGGACTGCAGGTAGCGGGTCTTCGGGGTGAAGATCGCCCTTAGCGACCGAGCCGACGCGTTGGGGGTGTAGTTGGACGAGGACCCATCTGCGGGATCCTCCCTGAAATTCATTCACGCCCCCGTTATGTCTCGCAGAATGTCGCTCGTTCGACAACCACACACAATGGGATCAATTCTAAACATGTAACTAATCGATAGCGCGCGATGCCGATAGTGTCACAGCACGGACACTTATCGGGCGGAAACCATGACAGAAAAGTTGATAAAAACAAAAGTTCCATTCATGCACCCCAGCCGTTGACTGTCGATATAAAATTAAAAACATTTTTTTCCTGTAAAGATACTTTTCTTTATAGGAAAAAAAAATTGGTACGAAGAAGATAAATGGCTAAAAGTTTACGTTAATTAATGCGACAATTTCTTTCCCAATAAGATTAACTTGCTTTCAGACTCCGCCAGCGTAGGGACGTTCAACATTATTGAACGTCTATAATATAATATCAATGTAATACGCAGTGTCCTTCAGCGATGGTTTTTAATCCTATCGATTGTCTGAGTTGCCACTTCGCTGAAAAATCACGGAACGTCGCGTGGACCGTTAATTAAAATAAATATAAAACTCATTCCGACGTAACACTACAATTTGAGTGTATTTAGAAAAACGCCGCATTACGGTTCCCAACAGTTGAGTTAAGTATACGCGGAGAGAATTTTCTCTTCAAAATTTACCTTGAAAATCGTGTAATCGCGGGACAACGTGGCATTTTGAACAATTTTATGAGAGTTTTGTGAAATTTTTGTATAGTAACAGTAAGTATAATTATTGAGAGAAATGTATGGTAAAATTTCCCAAAAAAACTCTAATAAAATTCTCTGAAATGCCGTGTTGTCCCGCGATTACAATATTTTCAGGATAAATTTTAAAAGAAAATCCTCTCCGCGTAGGGTTGCGCCGTAAATTTCAAGATTACATCTACACGAATTGTTTACGCTATGTTTACGCGAACTTTTCATGTAGACGATATAAGCAGCGAAAATTAATTATAAGTTAACTAATTGATTCCTTGAACTGTATTTTCACAGTCTTGAAAAATAAAAAATAATTTTAGATTAGATGCATTTAAATTATAAACTTGTTGATTAAAATGAACTGTGCAGTGATACCAAAGATACTACTGACATTAATATAGAAATATTATTATTTACTGATCTGATCTACACTCTGATATGTTAATCTTTTGTGCATGCTAAAAATTGTGTCGAAACTGAATAACAGCAACTGAAAATAAAATTTGTAAATAAAACATAGATTACCGGTGGCATTTCTGGTGAAATATGAATGTTCCACGATCCCTGGATTACTCATGTTTTCATGCATGACACATTGAACATAGTTCATATTGTATACATGTAGATGTAGTTTATTATATTCTACGCGTAAACAACCCAACCCTGCGTCATAATTCGTAGGTTGTAAATACAGAGAGAGAGAGATAGAAATGTCCGAATAAATCGCACCCTTCCCCGTTCGTGATTTTTCAACAATTGAATGCACTTTTGGAAGGGCGAAAGTTAATTAGACTGAAAACCATTCAATAAGACATTAAGAAAATTACTAACTAAAACACCGAATTAACGTTGCAAACTATACACCGATTCTACGCCGTCTAATCGTCTAACATCGATCTACTACCAGCGTTCTAACGATACTAATACGTAGCCGCTGGTCTCTAACAGTGAGACACTACATCGAGACATTGTACACCCAACTACCGTGATGAGTCCCGGGGTTGTATCATGGTAGTAGTAGTAGTAGTAGAAGAAGAAGAAGAAGAAGAAGACACAATTGGAGAACATTTTGTTTTGTACGTGGTGATTTGTAGATGGTGGTAGGTGGTTGTTGGTATTTGGTGGGTTATCATTGACGTGACGTGACGTGACGTGGCTGATAGATCTGTCGATGACTGGCACACACACATAGATATGACATATTTTCTCAGTCTGTAGGTAGAGCTCTACTTGAGTACAGGTACTGGCGAAACGGTTGACATCACACCGAGGTAGGAGAAGAGGACACGGAGAAAGAGAGTGAGATAGAGAGCGGCTGCCTAACGGCCTGACCTTTCGACCAGATATCGCGGCGACCGAGAGAATCGTGGCGCACGGAAAGACGGGAGCCAGCCGAGGCGTGCGAGGGCCCCGATATGTCTCTTACTCGGTTGCAATACTTCAGGGTAGCCAGAGTCGGCCGGCACCTCCGGCGCGGAACCTGTTCTCGACAGAGATATGGTTGACAACAGACGGTGTCGACTCGGTCGACTGGTGGCGCAGCTTCTTCCCTATCGCTATCTTGGAATTGTCAGGCTCGCTAAATGAGCGAATTGAATTTTATCCACGTAAAAACAACAACGCCATGACGTTTGCGATGGATAGCCATCCGTTTGCGTTATATATGTATATATATGTTAAAGGAAGGTTTGCGAGATTTTCGTAAATTAATAGAGACCAAAAATGTCGCGTTTCACACGTATCGTAAATGTAAAATAAATTCCGCGGCGGCGCGCCGTGGACGCGTCGCGGGTGCGAGGGGGGGAAAAATGCAATTAAACGTGCTAATCCGGCGATTAACGGGAATTCTGGCTGACGGGCCAATCGGCCAGTTTAAATATTGACTAACGAAAGGAAAGAAAATACAAAATTGAATTTTACGTAAAAAAACCGGAAGCGTCCCCGCGCAATAAATTTGCGGTAACGTTATGACATTTGAGATGGATAGCTTTCCGTTTGCGTTATAAATGTTAAAGCAAGGTTCGCGAAGTTTCTATAAATTAACACCGGCCGAAATGTCACGTTTCGCACGTATCATAAATGTAAAGTAAATTCCGCGGGATCGATCCCCCGGCGAATACCAACCGAGATCCCGCGTGCCCCGTTTGTACTCACCCATGAACCTTTTCTCCGCGTTCGGGTAATTGGCGAGTGCCTCGAGCATGTCCTCGTAATCAAGCATGTTGGTGTTCTGCACGACGGGCAGCGGATACTCGTCGGAAAAGTCGATCTGTCGTTTGTGTCTCGTTTGCGAGGACGCGCCGTCGATCCTCCTGTTTGACCTGTTCTTCGCCCTGCTCTCGTCGAGGTCCTCCGAGACGCTGAAGGGCCAGTTGACTGCGGCACTCGCCTTGGCATTATTCTCGTGGCCTTGTCTGATGAGCTGCTGGAGGTCCAAGGGCTCGCTGTGTGTCTCGCGATCGTCGCTCAGGGATCTCCCGTGACGGTTGAGCACCCGGACGATCATTCTGCCTGGCGCGGTGCCGCCTCGCTTCGCGAAACCAGGCCAGTCGGCGTTTTTCGCCAACGAGGCGATGTTGCGCTTGCCCTCGTCGTAGCCGCGGACCGGGTAGCCACCGTTTCGGACCAGCGAGCCGAGATATCGCTTGCCGTAGGGCAAAGCGGAATCCCTGGCCAGCGCGGCGACGTTCCTCTTACCGGTCGGCGGCAGCATCGAGTCTCTCGCCAGGGAAGCGACGTTCCTCTTGCCACCTAGAGGCAGTATGCTCTGTCTAGCCAGGGAGCCGATGTTCCTCTTGCCGCTCGGGAAACCGTAATCGCGAGCCACCGAGCCGACGTGACGTCTGCCTGTAGGTAATGCGAAGTCCCGCGCCAGAGAGCCGACGTTACGTTTGTCTAACGGATACTCGGCCACTTCCGGCTCCAGGTCGGCCAGGTAGTCGTAGATCCCGGACGTAGATCGTCGACGATCATCATCCAGCAACACTCGCACCAGCTCGTCCATGTTATCGCTTAATTCGACAAATCGATTAATTTTGAATAAATGAAGCGTCGTGGTAATCTTCTTAATAACAACATTAACAGGAAATTATATTTTAAAATAATTATATACACGTGACATTTAATTATAACGATGGTCAAACGATCATTAAAATATGAGGATTTCTAATTTTCTCACTTTGGAAAGTATCGCGACGTCTTATTGGTGTCTTAAAGATTTCCCGTTCAGAATTATTAAGTTAGGCGTTTGTAGGAGTCGGAAAGATCTTCAGAAAATATATACCTAGAAGAAGAATGGACGCTCCTCTTCTCCTCGTCATCGCCGTTGTCCTCGCGCCCCTGTATGGTGACCGGCAGATCGTCGTTCTTGGCCAGGGTGGCGAGGCTGCGTTTCTCCGATTCGGGAATCAGGTCCCGCGAATCGATCTCCTCGCCGTCGTCCAGAAGACGCCCGGGAAATTCGGGCAGCTTATGCGTGCGCGCCATGACGCTGAGATGTCCACGTAACGCCGGGTCCCTGAAGAGCTCCAGGTAGACGCCTCCGGGTATGCAGATCTCGGCGTCGTCGTTCTCCTCGGAGCTGAGAGCCTTCAGGTGAGCCATGTCGTTATGGTTCTTCGTCTCCTGAATAATCCTCGCCATCCTCGAATACGCCGCCAGATTCGAGCTGACTTCCGGTAAACGCAGCAGCGCCAGGAAGGTCTTCTTTGGTATGCATTGGCTGCCTTCTTCGTCCTGGCATGTCACCTGGAGCGAGACGTGATCGGTCACGGATCAATGAGTCTGCCTCACGCGTTACCTTCTGCATAATAGAATCCGGCATTTACATCCTTCGATGTACTTTTACGTCTTTCCTTTTCTATCTGGCATATACGTCGATATATAATTACTTCGCGCGTAATTATACGTATATAATTATCGTGCGTGATGAAAATATTATCGGCATTTGCTATAACTGTTTTATGTAATTATACATCGCTACACCCACAGAAAAAATTTCCGGGCCCGATGCTATTACACTTGAATGTATCATAAAATAGGACCGATATAGCGCCAAGCGTATTTGTTATAGAGAAAGGAATGTTTTAATCTTAAATGAAAAATTCTAAAATCTAGAATAAAATGATAGTATCGTCTTTTGTCGAATATCGTGATGCCAACTTCGTGCGTTGTAAGATGGAGGGAAAATTTATTCTAAACGCAAGAATATATTAAGTTACATTTATACAAGTTACTCTTGTCTCAATATAGTAAGTCAATCTTGTTTAATTTGATAGAGGAGAATAAGAATGATTGATTTTATTTTGATATCGTCTTATTTTCATACTAAATGAGGCTGTGAGAAATATAAGTGCGTCAAGAATATTTTTTGTCTCGGTAACAGAAATCCTTTCTGAGGGTGCAACTTCTAATAATAAAAATGACGTAAGTCACGAAGTCGAATCTGTCGATTGCCGTTATGCAAATTCATAAAATTCTCTACGGATACGCTTCCGAAGAACGACAAAGCTTAATACCGCGCGTGAGTGTGACGCAGAGAAAATCGCGCAAATATACATTGCGTCCAGTTGAAGCTCGCAAAACTGAAGTGCCCAAAAAAATATAACAAAATGCAGGAAGGATCGATGCACTTTTATATTTTGACATCTCGAAAGCGATAGATTTCCGGATGATTTGCCCTCTCGTTGACAGCACGATATCGTTTCCGTTTATTCTTCAACCGCCGCATTTTCACAGAGTTGACAGTTGTGAGTTTATTTAGATTACCAGATAGCTCTCTCTCTCTTTCCCTCTTTTAAAAAATCAGTAGTTAAAAAATAATTTTATAATATCTCCGCCTATCACAACAAAAATCTTGAAATATTAGTATTATGTTTGCGTATCTGTGCTTTGTACAATAATTGCGCTATATAAGTACTATATAAATTGCATACTGTTAATTAAATTTGACGTGAGTTTTAATTAAATACTTAATTAGCGAGATTTAATATTAAAGATAAAAACATATTTGTACTGCGGGAAAATTAATTGCCAAATCGTGGCTAAAGTCACGTTTATTCAAGCAGAACGATAACAAAAGTTCATAGAATTTATTATGAGAAATTAAATACAGACACGACCCGCTCCATGTTTCCGGCATTCCGCTTCATTTCAATTCCCCATTATTTCCACAACGCTCAAGGTAACTGAGCGTTTATACAATCTCGTTAAATCCAGTTTTAATCGATCGTCGTGAATCCGAGTCACGTGCACGCGGCTCGCGCAAGGTGGTTGGTCGTCACGTTTTGACGTTAATTTTTCTGGGAGAACGTGACGCGGCGCCGGCAGCGCGATATCGGCGACTACGATTCGCGTCCACGTGGATTTATGAATTCGATGAGATGCGAGTAATTTATCTGATGCATAATATGCGAAATACGTGGCAGATGCGCTGTAATTAAATGATCGTCCCGATGTCAGAGATGAATTAAATCCCGCGCGACGCGCCGTTTATGGTCGCGGATATATTACACTGTAGTTTATGGGGAATACACGAATCGAGAATGATAATGAACGGAATACCGCGGTTCGCGCAGTCCTGAAAATGCGTGGCGTTTGACGTCCGTCGTTGGAAGGCCGAGCCATCAGCATTTATGTAGGCTTTGCGGTGGCAATAAATTTTTTACTGCGTTCTATAAAATCCGTATCTTTCAATGTAGACAACGATATGATAGATTTGGGAGTAATGGCCGACATATTTTGCATATTTTATGGAAGAACTTAAATTTTACTGAATATTTCAACGAATTTTTATATTATTCCACGACGAGAAAAATATGGAACGTTGTAATGTGCATAATAACGGCGATTTATTTTATTCCACTAATTTCGTTCGAGATTTATATTGGACCTTGCGAGGGTATTACACGACGTTCTGATTTAACGTTGATTTGCACCACCTCCGGATTTACACTAATTCCAATGGAGCTGACTCAAAGTATGTACCTTCGCAATATTATGGCTTCGCGTAAACTCTGGAACGGTTTGCAAATTTCGGTCAGATGTCGCTGACATTAACTGCGATCGTATGCCTTTGTGGGCGTTTGGTAATATCCTTTGAACATGAAAGCGTCCGTGTTGCGCATTCGAACATGATTTTATGCCGTCAAAATATGATATTTGACATTGTGACGAAGGAACCATCATATTTGAGAGCGTGCTGGTAATTAACAGAAATAGAAGAGCGATAATAATGGTCAGGGAAATGAAGCATCCCTCAATGAAAATAGTTTATACAACAGAATGAAAATGTCAGGGGAAAATTGTCGGCGATTGAAGTTGATTGATGTTGAGATTGACAGAAATAAGGTACGAGCACAATGATTTCGACACAATGTCATTATGGAATATTTGTCACCGCCCCGTAACGTAATTAACGTTATTACGGCGCTAGATTAGTGACGCTTCAAGCCCAATTTCGGTGATGCGTATGACGTTAAGCCCTGCACATGATAGCTACAATTACAACGTATGTCCGCAACCAGAAGGCCATGCGACACCTGTAGTCCACATTTTACAGTGCGGATGCTGAATTTAAACAACTTCGAATATTGCCGAAAATTGAGATAGCTTTTCCATGTGCATTCCCTTATTTCCGAGACTTTTGAAATGTAAAGTAGCGAATTACCAGACGAAATAAATTTCAAATGAAACTTCTCCGTAACACTAGATGTAAATGTCGGATAAACTTTGTCAGAATGTTCGAAATATTTGTGTAATTGAATCGAGCCGGGCAATAGTTTAGCATGCTGCTCAAGAAGTTCGCATATAAACTTGTCGGAGATGAAGAGAATTTACACTCGAGAAAAGATCTATGAAGTTCGTTGCATAAACCATTAGCGGATAGGGAGATCCATTCTTCATGGCTCAATCTTAAGAAGGTAAAATAATAATTTCAACATTTCTATGCACATTTGCACGGAACACCACGTGGCACCTGCCGCGTTTCACGTCATATAATCTTGCTTCTGTGCACGAGAAGTGTACGCGGATTTGCGTAACAGAAACACACGTACATTTGCGGAAATTCGACTGTGCGGCTGCAGTAATTTAATCTCGTCCGTGCACGTCCACTTCAATAAAATTAACCTTTATGTAACTGTATTTCCGATAATAAATCTACCAGGATAAACAGTTTATACCTACTTACTCGAGTAAGCTTTCTTTATCATTATTGACGTTTATAAAATAATTTTTACGAAACGCCCTCGAATCAATCTGCTCAACAAGCGATACGGAAATTCCACCTCGCGACGCTAATGAAGCAAATGTTTAATTAGTGGCTCACTTCCGGGGATTGTCGCGCCGCGAAAGGTCACAGGATAATTTCCGTTCGTACGTAGGAAAGTGTTACCGGAGATCACGGCCGTGTTTCATTAAAGCCTTCCGCCTCTTTGGTGCGTGTTAAACCGTGTAGTCCTTGGCCAGTGGGACCAAATTGAATTCCTCGGAAACTATACCGCATAGTTTATCCTGTAATGAAAACCCACGTCCCGCCAATTCCATCACGCCGAATAGGTATTAATTTCCGCCGATAAACAGTCCATCCGAAATTCTGCTTTCGCGAAACTCGTGACGGGACGATGAAAAAGCGACGCGAGTCCGAACTGAGCTCAAAGCTAGCGCGCAATCTTTATAAGAAATGTATACTTTATTATTTGTCTGTGTACAAACACACATAAATCCTCACCGAAAAAAAACATTTTCGCTACCGTAGCTAATCATGGTTTGCTAAAAATATTTTGCCGCCAAAAGTATAAATTTCTAACAATAATTTAGCTTGCAATCGACCGTAACTGGCAACGTGTTTTTAACACAGAAAACTTATTGCGACAAATATTATCATATGCCTCGGTGATCGAATTGCCGAGACGCCCGCCTAGACTGTAGGGAGGTCCAGGTTCAAACCCTGGCTAATATTTTTCGCAATAAATTTTCTGAGTTAAGAAACACGTTGCCAGTTATGGTCGATTACAAGTTTAACTGTTGTTAGTCATGTACTGGCGTCAAATAATTCTTGGGGTTATAAATTTCTAAACCACAACAAACGGTTTGCTGTCGCACCTAAAACAATAGGCGCAGTAACAAAATATTTAGCTATCGCAACTAAATATTAGCTGTCCATATTTTACAACTGAAATTTAGTTGCCACGTGCAGTTTTCACCTGCGGCAGCTACATTTTTCTTTCCGTGCTCAACAAAGTCACACGGTCGACAGAATTGTAGCAATCTCCTATCAAATGATATTATAATACACGTACGCAGACCCCACGGCCGTTTATCCGAAACATTATTTTTAAATCGCGAATTTTTATCTTGATTTTTCTCTGAAGAGAGTTATTTATGATTAAAAAAATTTTTATCGAAATAATCGATTAAGTAACGTCCATGATCGAGATTATTGGTGCAGATCTTTCTTTAATAGTGACTTTATCGCTATCTCACGAGAAACTCAATTTACCGATTTCTTCGAGCGAGCCAATTTATTGATACGGACATTTCCGTTGAATTGTCCCTCCGACGTACCTTCGCTAAGACGCACGCTACCCGCCGACCTTTCTGTGGCTCTTCGGGAGATAGAATCCTCCCGGCATCTGTGCGAGATCATCGAGCGCGATATTCGAATACTTGGCCAGATTGCAAGGGACGTTCCTTACGGAATGAGGCAATGTAAATTCTTGCTGTCTTGTACCAAATTTGGATGTAAA